TCCATTTCAGCCTGGATAGTGTAGCCAAGACTTCAACTTCTTAATTGGTAATAATGTCAAAAATCACATAAGGAGTATTTTGTAATAGCAGGAAAAATGACAGATACCCCGAGAACATTCAGAGAAGAAGATAATGGGGGCACAGTGTGTGGTCTTCTCAAGTTAAGATACTGAGCACTTTGCTTCTGAAGTGGTAAAATGCCTCTTTTCTCCAAAACTGAAGCTATCTTGCACAGTGGTGTTACAGTCCTGTCCTACCTTTTATAAGGTAATTTCAAGTTCTGACTACGACCAAATTTCTTTAGATTGGGTAAAGTACAGAATAATGTAAAATAAAAATTTTTAATGGAAAATAATTCTATCAATTTAATGTTTCAGAAATGGTACACTTGTAGTACATTTGAGTTAAAACAACGAAACAGTTGTAGTTTTTTAAGGATTATTTAGGATTACTTAGATATATAAATACTCCTAGTATAAAAATAAAATGTGTCCAAATTAAGAATTATTTACCTGGCTTTATGAATATTAAATAGGAAATCCACAGATGAAAGGACTGTGAAGTTAGGAAGCTTGAAGAGATATTTTGGAACTTCTAGATCAACCTGAATTTACTGATAGGGAAACTGGGTTCAGAGAGGAAGATTGATATTTCTGAAGTAATGCTATGCGTCAGAGTTCGATTTCTGATATCATGGCAGCGCCACACTTCTATTTTAAACTTTGTATATCTTCTGAATTTCTGTGTTATTGTTGAAATAGGACTTGCTATTTGTTATTATTTTCTATTATTCATTTATTTATTCACTCATTCAATAACTGCTTCCTAGTGCCGGATAGTTTTCTAGTTGCTGAATAAACAGAAATCCTGTTCTCACAGTGCTTATTTTTGTGTGTGTAGAAAGAACAACATCATAGGTTGCTGTGAAAATTAAATGGGTTAGTATATATAAAACACAGCCTATGTGGTGGAGTCTATATCATGATCCTGATTTTACAGATGAGGAAACCGAAAGTACAGAGAGGATACGGAACTTGCTAACTTGTTCAGAATCACACAGCCAGGAAGTGGCAAAGCTGGATTGCTATAAGCAGTAAAGCCTGAAGACATGTCCTCTGCTCTGCATCATAAACTCTTGGCAAAATGGTGGCTCTTAACGGCCTTGGACAACTATTTGGCCCTCACTTTTGAGAGTCAGTTAATCTTGTCCAACATTTTAAAGGACAGAATGGATAAAACAATGAACCCATATTTGAATGCTTTCTTCCACATTTAACTTTGCAAAGCCACTTTTTTTTTTTTAATGAGAAGAATAATGCCTATTATCCCATTGTGAGACTCAAATGATAGAGATGGAGACCCTTTGCAAAATGGGTTTTAAGCCTTTGCTGCATGAATTCTTGGTATCTCTTCTCAGTATTTTGGGCAGTTAACCTATATGCTTACTTCTCTGGCTCATTAGGAGAAGGGAAAATGTATGGAGAAGTAGTGCACGATACTGGGAAGAATGCTTGGTTCTAGGAGTCCTTGATTGTGAATTCTAGTTAGACCTCCTCCTTTAGCTACTTTTTGGTACCGTAAGACTATATCATCTATGTTCTCGACCTCCAAGATTTATGGAGGTAATCTGTAAAATGTTTATATAAAGTATGGAGTGCTAGGTAAATATTAAGGCTCAGTAGTTCTGTCATACTGGTGAAGAGAGCCCTCGAACAAGTGTGAATGATAAGGGACTGCAGCAAAATCATGCATACTCTGATTATTTTTCCCCCTCCTCTCAAAATAATAAGCCTGCCTTCCCCTTTTAGGGGAAGTTTATTTGGTGTTAACCATTGTGCTTATCACTATGACTTATTTGTGCCAATAAACAAAACCACACTGATGAGAGCTGTGGGGCCTGTGCCTTCTACTTTGAATGCCCCTAACTCTTTTGGTACATTTTTTAAAGTCATTTTATTTGTGATCTGAATTTCTGCTTAAATGGAGAAATTTCCCAGGCTTCTCCAAGCATGGTTAGCTTTCTGAAACGTGATGTCATAATGAATTATTTACATCTTTATTTGCTTTATTGAATTCTGAACTTCTTAAGAGCTGGGGCCACATCAATATATATGTACGTGCATACCTAGCACTGTGCACAATGCCTGAGAAATACTATGTGACCAATAAATATTTGATAAATAAATGAAAGAGCTTAGCAAAATACAAAGTAGGTTATGTAAATAATGACTTTTTTCAGGAAGAGTAATAATACCAGACAGATCAAAGTTAGTGACCTCTAGTAACACCTGGACCATCCCTCACAGATGTTCTCTTCTAGGACTTTACAGGCTATGAGTTTCATTCTTAGGAAATAAGAGTATTTTTAAAAGTAATTAGTTTAAAAAAATTTATATAATAATCTCCATTTGATAAATAACCAAGAAAATCCCACCCAGAGACCCATTTCATCTTTCATTTCCATTTTTTTAAAACCATATTTTATAAAAAATTTACATATTTGCATTCAACTTAAATACTATCTTGTATTTTTTTTCCTCTCGATATGCCACAGGTATTCTCTTTTTAGTTATCTATAAAGGGGTTGGCAAACTTTTTCTTAGAGGGCCTGATAATAAATGTTTTAGACTTTGTACCACAGCTGCTTTATCCAGTCATCTATTGTAGGGCACTTTGTTTGCTTCCGTGTCCTGTCCACTGTGAATAATGCTGCTATGTGGACCTTAGTGGTTTCTGTGGCAGCTGCTCAATTCTGCTGATATAGCACGAAGGCAGCCACGGACCATATATAAACAAGTGGTCTGGCAGTGTTCCAATAACACTGTTATTTCTAAATGCAGGCAGCTCCCCCCAGCTTTAATGTGCTCACCTCTCTCCTATAGAACTCATATTTATCATTTAAAAGGTTATATAATAGTCCTTTGAATTATTAATTTACTTAACCATTTTTATACCTGAACATTTGGGCCATTCTTTTGTTCTCATGTTTGTTTTTAACTTTTCTGTTATACTGCAATGAGTGTTTCCTGTTTAGCTTTTTTTTTTATTTATTTATGTGTATTTGATGATTTCTATAAGTAAGATCTCAAGAACTCTTAAAGCCTGTCAGACTGCTTTCCAAAACAGCAGTGATAGGGGGAGCATTGGCTTAGCCACACCTGGCCTATCTGACTGGCATGTGACAGGAGAGAAGGGAACATGATCTAGAGCCTGTGCCAAAGAGAAATCCTGATTAGAACTCTGAGGGGTGTAGGTTGCATCATATGAGGTTACCAATATTAGACTGCTTTTGATCTATAAAATCTATGAAAATTGCGGTTTCCTGTAGTTTCCTGTAGTTGCAGTTTCAGCGTAATTAACATAAATGTTATTAACCTTTGCTTACAACACACCCTGTAACATTGTAGCTTGATTATATCATTATTTCAGTGTTCCCCGTCCTGAGTTGGACCTTTAGCAGGGACAGGAGGAGTGGCGAGCTGAGTTCCTGCTAAGGATGGTATCCTTAGCCAGAGGCAGAGATAGATGGGCTTCACGCTATCTTGAACCACCAGGATAGAAGCAAAACGTACCTATAAGTAGACCATTGTAACTTATCTTGTGCTATATATAGCTCAATGGGTGAAGAATCCAGGATTTAAATCCACCTCTTTTGGATTATAAGACCATGCATTCATTTCTAACTCTATCACTAAAAATGATTTGAATTCAGAGATAGTTAGATGTAATGAGGTAATTTTATCTTTAATTGTGCATTAGCCCTTTCAATACCTCTAAACTTGAGATTTGCAAACTCTCAGCTGGTTTTTGTAAATACGGCTTTATTGGAACACTGTCTAGTTCATTCATTCATTCATTTCCTCTGCACCTTTTATATCACATGGCTGAGTCAAGTGGTGGTGACAGAAGCCTTACAGCTTGCAAGCCTTAAAATGTTTCCTATCTTGGCCCTTAAAAAAGAGGCATGCCAACCCTTGCAGAGGGTAAAGTAGTATTCCTTAAATTAGATAAGGAGCCCTCAAACCATAGCTTGTAGGCCAAAACCAACCTACTGCATACTTTTGTCAAGAAACGTATTGAAACACAACTGACTGTGGTGCCAATTTGACTGCTTTTGTGCTTTTGTTCCATTAAATTCAGTCAGTGCCTGAAATTGTACCCACGTCAACTCCTCATAGAAATTTAGCATGCATTTTTCTTAATTCCTCTTATATTCTATGTTCTCATTCTAGATTATGTGTCCCTCCTCCAAGAGATATTATAGCATGATATTTTTAGGCTCTAGAGTCAAAGTCTCTGAGTTCAAATCCTGGATCTGTCACTTAATGGTTAACATTGAAATAAGACAAATGGCCATATTAGTGAAGTAAAGTAGAGAGCATATTTAATAATCAGATTATTTTAGCTCCCTTATGATCACAATAACCTAATAGATGGAAGATTGACAGAAGAGAGGATTCTGTTTAGTCATATGGGAAATTTTCATCACTTATTCTTGTGTTTTACTGGAGTGAATCTTCTCTGAGCAGAATTTTGTTTCTGTCACTTAACAGCTCCATTACCTTAGGTAGGAGATACATATCCTCTCTGAGCTGAGCTTCCACTTTCTCACTGGCAAAATAGGGTTATTGGTGTGCCTGCCTCCTCACAGGCTTATTGTGAGGATTAAATGAGATAACTTGTATAAAATGCCTGGTATGTAGCAGATGCTATAAAAATGTTAGTTTCTTTCTCTTCCTTTCATGGTCAGAAATGCTTTGTTATAAATTTTGTTTGGTGACTAACAACACACTAATTATACAAACATTTATTTCTCCTCCTTTTCTGGGATATTTTCTCAGAATGTAACCTCTCAGTGAAGTTTTTGCTTTGGTTGGTAGAGGCAGATCCCTAAGGTATAATGAAAAAGTGGTGTCTTTACTGTGAATGCGGCCTAAGAAATGGACCTGAGAGTTGACCACAGATTCATCTGGCCTTTTCTTCCCTTATTTGATTGCAGTATAAAGAAGAGGGCGGCAAGGTGACCAGTTACTGCAATGAGACGATGGTTGGGTGGGTGCATGATGTGCTGGGCCGGAACTGGGCTTGTTTCACTGGAAGGAAGGACACTACCTCTGAGAATGTGAACACAGCACACCTTCAGGGTCTCCAGGACAAGTGAGTTGTCACAAATGAAAGATGTGTTTAGTTTTGTTTTATAGTATGTGTATGTGGATGTTAATTCTTGGAAATTTTTGATTACATAAAATTTATTTGACTTGGAAACATAAAGCCATGTTATATAAAACTTTACTGGAAAAATATGTTGACTGATGTAATTGAGAGAAACAGCATTTTTTCAAAGCACTCTAAAAAGTGGCTTTAAAGAAAATTTATGTTAAGAACTATAGAGCTGCAATGACTAATAAAGAAAAATAATTTTATTATTGCCATGTAAACTATATTGCATAATACTTGTAGATACATATGTTTATGTTGTAACAAGTGTAGGTGATACTAATCGAACATAAATTTTAAACAAGGCAATAAATAACATTAAAATTCTTAGTATTTATGTAGTATATATCCTTTGCTAAGGCTACCATACATACAGAGTACCACAGACTGAATGGCTTAAACAACAGAAACTTGTTTTCCCACAGTTCTGCAAGCTAGAAGCCTTAAGATCAAGGTGTCAGCGGGTTTGGTTTCTTCTGAGACCACATTGGCTTGCAAATGGCCGCCCTCTCTCTGTGTCCTCATGTGGTTATTCCTCTGTCTCTGTCCTCATCTCCTCTTCTTATAAAAACACTAGTCATATTGGATTAGGGCCCACCCTATGACCTCTTTTTACTTTAATTTTTTTTTAAGGGCTGTATCTCCAAATACTGTCCCATGCTGAGGTACTGGAAGTTAGGACTTCAACATATGAACTTTGAGAGATCACAAGTCAGCCTGTAACATGAAGTTGATGTTTTTGTTAAGTTAGGTGCACTTTAGGTAACCAAACCACACAAACGAGATTTCAGACTTTTATTAATTTGGGAAGGAAAAGAAAAACAAATATTATCGGTAGTAACTTTTTCTGTTATATTTAGTTGTGGTATCCACGGAAAGCGTACTTGAACAATTCATCTAAAGCCAGGTCACACTGTAGGGGAATGACTGCAGCAGAGAGGTGGGGGACATGAGTTCAAAGAGGAGGAACTTTTCTTGGAAAATGCTGACGTAAATCTAGACTAATTCACCCTCCCGTCCCCCATTTTGAATTTAGCTTTTAAATTGCTTTGCTCGGCTTGATCCTTGAGCAACACATTTCCTAATAAGCCGTTCACTTTTGACCCTACCATTTGGGATGTGCTTTGTACTTTTTTGAGATTGCAAACATTGCCTCCTTTAGTGAAGAAGCTGCTAACTGGAGTGCTCAGAACCCATAAAGGGAGCATTTGGGACAAAATTACCCTCAAGATCTCTTTCAGCTCTTAGCGATCTTTTAAACCATAGCAAGGTACATTATTTTTAATCTCCTTGGATCTTAAACAGTAAAAATATTAGTATTTAAGACTTACATTGTCACTATGGTAATGCACATAGCCTATGATGTTTTGCTAGATGTTACAATACAGCCAGAGAAGTAGGGCTGGTTACTGCTTCTCAAATGCTTAAAGTCCATGAAATAGTGAGCCTCACCAGTAGAAAATATTTCAAGACATACATTTACAATTTCAATTTACTTTCGGGCTTAAAGAAACAAGTAACTGTAACTTGTTTTTGTTGTGTTTGTGTGAGAAATATGACACAGGCAGTTTTATAATCTATTTAGTGAAGGCACCTCTCTGGTTTCACACTTTGCAACAAGTAGGGAAGGACTTTGATAAAAACATTAAAACATCAGCATGGTTGCACTTTTTTATTCTTTTCAGTGCTTCCAGTTTTTTTGATTGTATTAAAGTGTTCTTTCCATGAACATATAAATTAAAAGAAAAAATTTCAGAGTATGCCTAAGATGTTACTCAGGTCAGATATATCTTGCTTTGCATAATTGAATGTTAATGGAAGTCTTGGATAGTGAATCACACTTAAGCCACAAAATCTTTTCTTAGTAGAAATAATATGGTAAATTCTGTAATTTCTAGCACCTGGCACATAGGTATGATACATGTTTGAATTAAATGAATAATCAATGCCCCTGATTTTTTTAGGGCTTTGTAAACATGCTCTGTGTATGTTAGATTTATTTACATCTGTATTGAAACATTTGGCATCAAGTAAACTGGTGCTTCTTAAATTTTAATGTTATCGTGAATCACCAAGGGATCTTGTTAAAATGTAGATTCTGATTCAGATGGTCTGGGTTGGATACTTAGAAGTCTGCATTTCTAACAAGCATCCAGGCGTTGCTGCTGCTGCTGCTGCTAACTGGTTCAAAAACCAAATTTGAGTAACAAGGATATAAACCAAATGTTCATGTGGAATCATTTTTTTTTTGTATCATGTGGTTATAATACTTGCCATGCTATATATACATTATATACAGTTTGTGCTGTCCTGTACTTTATTTTTTTATTATTGCAAAGTTATAAGGGTCCATTGTGGAAATTGTAGGAGGGGTGGAGAAAGGTGGCAATGCTATGTCACCAGAGATAACTATGATTGGCATTCTAAAAATATACTCATACTATAAATGTATATACTTTCACAAAAAATGGTAAATTCTCTATAAACTTCTTTGACATTCTGATTTTTAGTTTAATATAGTGTAGACACCCTTTCATATCACTAAATATTCTTCTAGACATTTTTACTGAATAACCCATATAGCAAATTAAGTACCATTATTTATTCAATCAATCTCTTATCTTAGAACATTTGTTTAGGTTGTTTATAATCTATCACCAGTATGAAAGTGTTTCATCGAACTTCTTTATACATACATGTTAGTTAACGTGAAGTTTTATTTTCATAGAAGACATTCCAATTCCAGGCTATTGACATATATATATATATATATATATATATATATATCTCCTCAGGCAAAAGTGAAAGGTGACTTTTGGACTCAGAGGTTGTCTCTTCATATATGAACCAAACCCAGATCAGTTTTGGTGCCAAAAAAAACAGCTTTGCTTGAATAAAAGGTATCAATACAAACTGTACTGTAAACAATGGTTTGTTTAAACTATGAGGAGCAAGGAAGAGAAGGTATTTCGAAAGCCTGATGACTTTAGAGCCAAATTAAGGGGATTTTTCAGATCAAAAATCAGTTACCACTTACTGTTAGAGTGTCTGATGCCGTTCCTCCTGGCTCCCAAAAATTTCTAAGCTGGGTTCACGGGGTCATATTCTGCATGGCTCACTACAAAATAACTTGAATCCAATGAGATTTCACTACATTAGAGTTAGGGATAGTTCAGAGATCTTTAGTATTTTGATTTTTGTTGTCTAAAACTGGAGTTTATTTTATCTTATAATTTCAGTTTATCTAAATTTTGTTTTCTGTATTTATGATGTTTAACTGTCCCATTGACTGTTTGGAAATCCAGCATTGTATGTCTCGCTCTATATACTGTAGTGCATTTAACTTATGAATTTCTTATACTAAAAAATGTAGAATAAAGACTATTTTGATGATTTGACCATAGTGCTGAAGTTACATTACAAAAAAAAAAAAAAATGCCTTGCTGAAAGATTATACCACCTTCCACTTAGGCCCAGAGTGTTAGAATGCCTGTTTTAATGAAGTCTGATTATATCAGTAAAGAGTATATCTGAAACTATCTTATTTTTGTTCAGGTATTCTAATAGGCCCTACAAATATAATCATGACTTTGTGAAAGCTATCAATGCCGCTCAGAAGTCTTGGACTGCAACCACGTACATGGAATACGAGACTCTTACCCTGAGAGAGATGATTAGGAGAAGTGGTGGCCATAGCAGGAGAGTCCCCAGGTAATAAAACACATGTCTTTATCACTAATAAAGATGTTTATGTTGAATACCATCCTCTCTTCCAACTAGCTCTCCCTGGGTTGCCCACCATTTTATTGGCCAACTTAAACTTTTCCTGTTACCTTTTTTCCAACCATTTCCCTCTCCTGTTCACACATACTCTGCTCTCCAAGTCTGATTTATGGGTTTTGCTTTCACAGCATCTGCCGCTTCCATGATTCCCCTTCCATTTTCTATACCCCGGCTTAGGGCTTTGTCATCTCTTTCCTGCCTTATGGAGCTACCTCCTGCCTCCTGTCTCTTTGTTCACTTGTCCTCCCTGTCTCCATTCTTAGCCATTCTATAAAGTACTTTAATACCTTTCTGTACTCAGCTATAATTGTGTTACTACTTATTTTCTAATAAATAAATTTAACTTAGTAACCAAAACCATCTAAATTGGACAGTAAATATATATAGTACCCTGACCTGCTTTTAAAGAATATTACACAATTGCTAAAAACTTTTCTTTCATGACCTCCATTCATACTACTCCCTTTGCCTCAAATACCCCTCAACTTGCCAATAACTGTCAAATTTACTACTTGTAAAAATCTCAAAATTCTCTCTCTGTTTGAAGGTCCAGCAAAAAACCATTCCTTGTAATCAATATACCTCTTTTAACTTCAGCTATAAGTGACATTCCTATCTTTAGCTTATATACTCCATGGTATTACTTTGAGAAATTAGATCATAATACTTTGAATTTTTATAGTCAAGAATTCAGTAGATTTTTTTTTATTCTTTCAAAACTATAGCTGAATCTGTCAGAGTATATAGTCCCTTAACATTTGTTAAATAGCCAACAATGTTTCTGTGATGCCATATCTTGCTTCAGAAGAAACTGACATCACTGAAAGACAGGGAACTGGAAACCAGTAGAGCTAATGGGAGTCAGTAAATTGTGTTGGTTCTTCTCCCTTAGTATATCAAAACATTTCTCAAATTTCAGGAAATGCAATGATTATTTCCTTAATATACTTAAAGTCCTTGGTTCAAATTTTAATGTTTGAACAAGCCACTGATTGGTTAATTGTTAACTGAAATGCATTTCTAACTTTTTATCTATAGACTAATAATTCTAAGGCTCTGGCATTTTTCCACTATGAGGCTGTAGGGAGATTTTTCCTATCCAACTGAGAGCATTCTCTCATAATTCTTCCCCTTTATCAAAATAATCTTATACAATATTTCTTAATGTGTATTCTAAGGAAGTTCTAGTCCATAAGATGCTCTGGTTAATCTAAATTGAAAAATGGAGCATATCACATTCTTTCTCAGATTCATTAGAGTGAAGGAATCATATACTGTGTCGATGTGAGACAGGAAGTTGTTAACCTGTTCAATGAAAGTTCAGAGGAGATGCTGTCAACATTTGAGCCTTGGGAGACTGGAGCACCTGCCTGAAAGACATGAGCCTCAGATACAACTGCTGCGCCATGCACCATGTATCTGTGGAACTCTTTTGTACTCGACTCTTCCCCCTTCCACCCAAGCACCTTTGCTTTTGTGAAGGGCAGGCTACTTTATGAAGGTCTGCTTTTAAGGCTAAGATAAAGAGATGGAATTGAGTGAAGTGGGATATACCGAAACAGACATTGTAGTCTAGCTCCCTAGTTTTCAGTAGCATTTTGTATATAAATTAGTTCTGTTTTAAGAATCTAGTGACATAGCAGAAACTCTCAGAGATTCTTAACATGAAGTTTGAGGAATTTGTGAAACTATGGAATCCAGAGTTTTTACTAGATTCTTAAAAAATCTGGACCCAAATGACTGAGAGCCAATAATGTATACTGTACCTATAATGTTATTAATTCTCACTTCTCCATCACCTCGATTCCTTTTTCACTCTCTTCATTTTCACACCATTGAGCTTCAGATGTCACATTGTTTTTGCTTTGTCTGTGTTTACATTGATGGGCAAACATTCTGCCTTATAGGATGGTGGGAAGTAGAAAATAAACATTTGAATGTCTGTTGTGTGCCAGATAGTCACTTAAATCTATCAGCATCATATTTAATCCTCTTAATGACATGGATGTTGATGATGATGGTAGTTATCATCATAATAGCTTAGTAATTTGTTAAAGAATTATCAGAAACCAACACTGTTCTAAGCACGATTTTTATAACAATCCTTTGAGTTAGGTGTGCTTAAACCCATTTGTATAGGAGTCCATCATAATTTTGTGATGTTAAGATCTTTGACTAATGTCACACTGCTAGTAAAAGATTAAACCATTTGTAGGAGGTTGGTATGACTTTGAGATACCTGCCATGAAACTATGTTATGCTGCCAAACTTCAATTCCATTTTTATCTTTCATATTACTTAGTGTATTCTTAGGCATACACAGGTCAGTTAGTTAATATTTATCGATTGATTGACTCTGTTGGCCTCTCACTGTGAAATCGCAGAAACTGTTTATTTCCTTTCAAAATTTGTTTGCATCTATTTTTTATTCATAAATCTCAAAAGAAATAGCCAAGGTTTATTTTTGGTTTATTTTTTTTTCTACCCTATATATAAAATTTCCATGTGCATAGCTTTTTATGTACGTTGGTTATACAATTGGCATTATCCAAATGAATGTTTTATAGCATTATTATAACTTCCTTGTATTTGCTATGGTAATTTCTATATATTTCATTTCTCTGAATTCTATCTTTTTATATGGTCAAACAATGTCTTAATTAATATTTTAGTGAGAAATTAACTGACATTTCTGTATGAACTATGCTGTCTGTTCTTCACAAATCTCAAGGTTATGAGTGATTTTTCATAAGTGATTTTTTTCTTTTTCTCTCTCTCTATTTCATCTCAATTCCATTTTGTCTTAGCATTAACTACTACATCATCTCTTAGAGAAGTGTGTGAGAGAGGGAACTACTTGAGAATAGTTACAGAGGACATGAAGAAGTCCAGAAATAATCTTTACAAGTGACTAAATTGGAACCTGGAATAAAACCAATTGGCTAACCACAAAAAAGTTAGAACAGTGCGGTATGATAATGCCAAGAAAATAAGAAATTCGCCTAGTTCACAATAACAGAAAAATAAATGTTACCACGGCGTAACAGTGCTGCCCTACCAAAAGGGTTGATGGAGCATAGAAAGAAGTGAGTTTTTGTTGGGGCTTGTGGATAGAGCTGCTCTGCGAACAGTCCTTAAAATTAGAAGTCGGGAAAAAACTCTAAGGGGATTTCTTCTAAGCAGTGGGTAACGGGCATTTTAGATAAAAGGAGCAGTAGCACAAAGATGTGGAACACAGAGCATTTGACAGACTTGGGGAAACTTCAAGAAATCTAGTGTGTCAAGAGCTAGAATTCTCTGTTTGTTTTAAATCTCTAATATGGAGAAGCTTGTAAAACAATTTTCTCATTTCCAAAAAAAGTTCTGTTCATTATTCATCGTCCAAGGCAACTCTTTTGTGTCTTACTTTCCAAGCATTTCATATAAGGTCCAGTTCTATAATGATGAAGCAGTTTTGTCTATAGTTTATGGAACTACTCTACCTACTTTATACTTAGACCTTTCATTTCTGTGCCTATTTCACTTCTTTTACAACCACCTCACTATCACTACCACCCATATCCTGAGTCAAACATCAGTAATTCCTCTATTTTCTCTATATCTTTCGTCGGCCATCTTTAACTTCCTACATCTACTTTCTTGGTCAAAATATGTTAAAAGTAAAAGAATGCAGCTGTTGAAGCATACTAAAAATAGCATCACAGTGATACACAAAACTAGTGTAATTTCACAGGGGAAAATTACTAGCTCATGAAAAAGAAATGGATAATGAAAGCCATTTACACAATTTAGTTATGAAATTGACACATTGTATAATAGACACATTATTGTGTTATAGCTACACTGTGAAACACTGATGAAACAAGTATTCTTTGGTTCTGAATCCAGATCTTAGCCAGCCAGGTAGTTGAAATACTATAATTAGAGGTTAGGAAATCATCCTTAAAGAAAAGTATATGTTGATGTCAAATGTATATTTCCATCCATCCTAGGCCCAAACCTGCACCACTAACTGCTGAAATACATGAGAAGGTTTTACGTTTGCCGACATCTTGGGACTGGAGAAATGTTCGTGGTACCAATTTTGTTACCCCGGTTCGAAACCAAGGTAAAAAAAAAAAATGTAATTTTTAATTAATTCATTCTGTAACATTTATTGAACGTTTACTATGTGCCAAGCTCTGTGGTATATTCTGGGAATATAGAGATGAAACGGGCATGATCTACTTTAGTAAAGAAATGGAAATGATATGGCCAATGAATACTTACTTCCTTCTTTTATATCCATGACAGGCTTTGGTATTAAATAATCTCTCCAACTGAGCTCAGCATTTCTTAATTGTCCTCAATATATGTTCCAAGTAGCAAATGAAATTAATCAGAGCGATGTAAGTCAAACTCATTTGCCCTGCTAGTAGGAGAGACTCATGTAGAAACAAAGAATTGCGTATAACTCAAATTAGTCTTCCTTAGCAAGTGGTTTGCTGGAATCCTTCTTTGCTACCTGTCCTCCCATTCCGTGCCTTGACCCCATCATTTAGTCTTTACTTACCATAGAAGCCCAGAAAATGTATCCTTTATATTTCTCTGGTAGATTTTTTGAGCTGTGACCTTTCGGTTCACTTTACATCAGAATATGACATATGATGGTAAATATTAACCTGGTTTCCCGAATGGTGGCCTGGGAGCAGAGCCAAGATTTACCAAAAGTATCACTCTAATTGCATTTTACTAGTTATTTTCAGAAATTGGATACAGTATGAGTAGATTTAATAATTTTTTCTCTAATAGCACTTGGTAGCAAATTATCTTGTTATCCTAAATTTTAGCCAACAATGACTTGGAGAATCATTTATATAATAGGTTTATTACTTCTAAGTTCATTTAGAAGATAATTACAGTACACATGACTGATTTGTTACTATAAAATAGGTGTAGTATTTGCTGTCTAGAAACATTCTGATTAGTGTCCCCTGAGAGGATTATAAATTAATAACACCCAAAAATAAATTGTTCTTTCCCTTCCCAAAAAATTCAGTGATAATCAGCCTCTCCCACTTATTAGCATTCACCACTGATCCTTCAGTTCTATCCTCACTGAGTTCTTGCAAAGTGTTTTAAATTTACAGAGCTTTGAACAGGTCTTGTAGCAGCCAGTCAGCAAGTTTCCTGTCCATCTGACACCAGAGGTTTCATCTCTTTGTCTTTCCTTGTACCAGTTGTTCTGAGACTCTTGAACTCTAGAGAAAGTGTGGGTCTTGAATCCTTCCCTACCTTCTCCCTTTCTGGGAGGGCTTCTATGGAAAGGGGGCATTGGAAATGAGAGAAATTTGAAGGTAATTGAGAAATTAATGGAAAGTGAAATTAAAAGTTTGATGTTAAGAGAGGGTTAAGATTTTTCTCTATCATCAAGCAGATTTTTATAGAGCATCGAACATGTGTTAGAAATTTTTTTTTAATAGCTGAGGATATAAAGATTAATATGACATGGTTCTTGTCCTAGAGACTTACAGTTCAGCAAGACCTGCAAGCAAAACATTAAAATACAATATGATAACAGATTTGATAGTGTTTTTAAAATTCATTGAGAGCATAGGAAAAGGTAGAAAGAAAAGTTTAGTTCCACTCACTTCCCAAAAGATGATTGATAGTGATGAAACAGTAATTCAAGAGAAGAGAATTAGACTTTCTAAAGCCAAATATTCTTTGATATTGGTTTTCTTGTAGCTTAGTAAAAACTAATATTGTTTCCAATGTTCCATATTCTTTGAGTGTTATAAATATGAATTGTACAGACAATGGCAATTTAAAAACAGAAATTTCATGGATTAATTCCTTTTGAATAGATCCCTCATCTGCAGTATTTTGTTAGATACTTTAGAAAATAATGTACTTACAGGTTCCTCTTTTGATTTTCTTTGGGTTTTCTGTAGTTTAGGTTGAGAAAAAAATTATTTTCTCTTCCTGCTCATTGGGCTTCTTGGAAATTTCCACTAACTATAAGAATACCAGAGTTCTATATAACCCAAAATTCAAAAGTTAGCCACAGTTGAGGGAATTCACATCTTTTCTCTCTTTAAAGAGCAAATCAGGATTAATAAAAAAAGAAATAGTGGGAGGGCACATGAGGTTTTACTTTGACACTTGAAGAAAGCTTTAGGCACCAGCCTTATAGCTATATTTACTTTAAAGTGTGAGAGGGAAGAGAGCTAGGAAATTGGAAGTGATGGAATTTCTTTGTTCTTCTCCCAGCTCTCCTTTATTTAGTACATCTTCAAGAAAGAAAGGGAGTGTCTCTTAGGTTGCATTAATTAGGCAATGCAGAGTGTTTTCCTAATGTTTAAAATCTAGTTCACTTCAGTCGTGTTCTAATACTGATTATGCTATTAGAGCTGGAAGGCAGGACCTTAAACTCTGCTCCACCCTATTTATTTGACACACAAGATAAAAAATGCCAAAAAGATCAAGTGACTTTCCCGGAGTCATATTGCTGAGTGACAAAGCAAGAAGAAAGGGGAAAAAAGAAAATCTTCACTACTTACTCCTAGTTCATTGTGCTCTCTACTGTCGAAAGCTGCAGCTGAACACAGTTAAACCTTGCGAAAATCATATTATCTGTTTGAGATTTTAGAAATTTGATTACTGCAAAGCTCTTTCTGGGCCAGATGTACTTCTCATCCTTTATTGCGTTGTAGTCTTCTTAAGGAGTAAGGGTCCTTTTAGAATCTAGATTCTGGCCTCGACTTTTGAAAAGAGGCATTAATTAACTGGGCAGCTGACACATTCTTCTGGGAACTACAGGGGCTTGAGAGAGGTTGCCCCCGGTCCTCATTCCAGTGATTTCCTCTGTTAACAGAGCACATTCTGAGCTCTCAAATGTACATGTGGCTTGTCCCTCACACAGTGCTAGATGGTCAGATGATGAGGGTTTAATGATTAATACCAAGAGAAGTTATTTCTTTGGCCGCTATGGGCCAAGAATGCTGGATAGCCAAAACGGGGCCATGTCTAGACTTTCATGGGATGTTATTTATTATAAGACCCTGATGTCTCATGAAAGAAACACTGGCTTTGGCTATATAGTTGCTTGTGAAGTTCTTTGACATTCAATTATTTGAAAGAGAGTTTCTAAAGATAGTGTTATTTGGATGGTTTCAAAACAAAAATGTGTAAGTTAATTTTGGTCTGTTTAGTAACTAGATGGCCAGGAAAGAAAATTTGAAAAAACTTTAAAGTAGATACAGATCTATAAACTGAAAGGGACACTAGGCCGGCATTGGGTAACACTTAGGCACTAATGCCTGCCATCTATTAGCTTTGTGATTTTGGACAGGTCATTATTGCCTCTTTCTAAGTCTTCAGTGTATGCATTATCAGATGGGTAGGTTGTACAGCTAGATGAATTCCAAGGCCCCCTTCTAACTGTTTCTCTTCTAATCTTTATAACTTAGGTGATCCCTGAGCAGCAAAAGCAGTATATGATATGAATAAATCTGACATGTTTATGGGGAAAATTGGAGGGAACATCAAACATGGTAGAAGTTCAAGGGTAGTAGGGCTCTAACAGAGTCTAGGTCCAGGACCTGTGGTATTGTTGGATTATTTAGAAGGTCTGCCTCCCGTAAAACTTAGAAACAAGTAAAGGTCAACTGTTCCTATTAAAGTCATTTTCTTTCCTGGATGTAAATATCTATTTGTTGTTCATAAATTAACTATTCTTTCTGCAAATATGCATCGAGTTCCCTCATCTCATCAGGCACCAAGAAGAAAAAAACAAATTTCCTGGGAACACTAAAGGAAATCCACAGTTTAGTTTGAGGAAAACAATATAAGTAATGCAAGTTTAGGATGTTGAAAGCTGAGCATAAAGTATCCTGGATTTTCTTTGCACTCAGGGAGGGACATGAATCAATAGTTATCTGGAGAAGGGAAAAACAGTGCCTCTGATTATACTTTGAATGCATAATGTTCTTTTGAATATTTTTCTGTCTAAGAAAGGCAGTTACTAAATTACTAACTTCAGATTTATTAAAGAGAACAAAGGCAGTGTTCTCTTTATGTAGAATTAGTTTTTTGAATTGTAATATTGTCTGTTCACTAATCTTATTTTATGTGCATAAGGGAGTGCTCGCCATTCAGATAATTTGATGACTAATGTTAATAAAGTGAATAACATACCAATTGTGCATAACTGCATTTAATACCAGTGTCTTGGATTTGGTACAGGCATATCTCCATGTAGAATTTATATCAGTGGCAGAGTGAAAGAGGCGGCCCCCTTCTAACTGTTTCTCTTTTAATCTTTATAACTTAGGTGATCCCTGAGCAGCAAAAGCAGTATATGATATGAATAAATCTGACATGTTTATGGGGAAAATTGGAGGGAACATCAAACATGGTAGAAGTTCAAGGGTAGTAGGGCTCTAACAGAGTCTAGGTCCAGGACCTGTGGTATTGTTGGATTATTTAGAAGGTCTGCCTCCCGTAAAACTTAGAAAGAAGTAAAGGTCAACTGTTCCTATTAAAGTCATTTTCTTTCCTGGATGTAAATATCTATTTGTTGTTCATAAATTAACTATTCTTTCTGCAAATATGCATCGAGTTCCTTCATCTCATCAGGCACCAAGATGAAGAAAACAAATTTCCTGTGAACACTCAAGGAAATCCACAGTTTAGTTTGAGGAAAACAATATAAGTAATGCAAGTTTAGGATGTTGAAAGCTGAGCATAAAGTATCCTGGATTTTCTTTGCACTCAGGGAGGGACATGAATCAATAGTTATCTGGAGAAGGGAAAAACAGTGCCTCTGATTATACTTTGAATGCATAATGTTCTTTTGAATATTTTTCTAAGAAAGGCAGTTACTAAATTACTAACTTCAGATTTATTAAAGAGAACAAAGGCAGTGTTCTCTTTATGTAGAATTAGTTTTTTGAATTGTAATATTGTCTGTTCACTAATCTTATTTTATGTGCATAAGGGAGTGCTCGCCATTCAGATAATTTGATGACTAATGTTAATAAAGTGAATAACATACCAATTGTGCATAACTGCATTTAATACCAGTGTCTTGGATTTGGTACAGGCATATCTCCATGTAGAATTTATATCAGTGGCAGAGTGAAAGAGGCTATGTAATAATAGAGATATTAAAATTATGTTCCTTTCTTTCTGGAATTGTAAAATAGAAGTCCGTTTTGTTACATGCACACCACATTTTTTTATAAGCACTTATTTCTTTTACCACACATATTGAAGAAACAGATAGAAAAATATTATTGTTCATGCTTATTACCTCAATGCACCATTTTTTTCTTCTTTTGAAATAGCAGCTATGTTCCTAGCATATGCTTCTTCAGTAAATTTATTTTGTCTTTGCCAGAGCATCCAGGTATTAAATAAAACTGGGTTCTTTTCTCTTCTCCCTGCCTCCATCCAGCAGCTGCTTTTCATGTTTCTCTCTCCTCTTGGTAACACTTTTCAGGAAACCATGGCTGCACTTCTGTCACCAGTTTCTGCTTAGAACTAGTCTATTTTTAACTTCATTACCGCTATCTGCCTTATATCTATACTTCCTCTTTGATCACCTTTAATAATATCATTATTACTGTTACTTTTCTTGGGTGTTTTTGTATTTTGCCTCCTTGACCCTGGTTAAATCCACCCCTCTGCAATACGCCCACCCATACCTGAGCCATTCTCAGGGCGAAGGAGACAAAATACAAAAGATATCTGCTCTAGAGATAATTAAAAGCTCCCCCCATAGTTTTCTCAATCTGATGGCTTAGAATATCACAGACATAAATCATTTCTTCATTATCACTAATACTACTATCAAATGCTTTGCAGAAGTTAGGAGTTATTTTTTTTCCTCTTAAAATATTTTCAAGGAAAGCCCTATATAGTAACATTTGCCTTTTGATGAAAAAGTTGAAATCTTAATGTTTGCCCATGATGTCAATAGTGTTTGTTGATTGACTCTTCTTCATTGTGCTCATCCTATGAATAACAACAGCAACACTCAGTATAAATGTATTAATGCAGCTCATCCACTCAGCTTGTTCTGTTTCTTTGTCAGTGCTTCAAAGATCTCTTGGGTTATATATCTTTCTTTTCCATCATCAGCATCTTGTGGAAGCTGCTACTCATTTGCTTCCGTGGGTATGCTGGAAGCAAGAATTCGTATACTAACCAACAATACTCAGAGCCCAATCTTGAGTCCTCAGGAGGTTGTGTCTTGCAGCCAGTATGCTCAAGGTAAGTGTTGTATTTCAGGCTCTATTTACCTATGTGTAGTTGGCCACTGTTGGCACAGGCAAAAGGATGGTGTGATAGAGAGAGAACAATGTCTGTCATCAGAAAACTGTGGTGCAAGTTCTGGCTCACTCTCTCATTAATGAGTGGTTTCTTATGGAATTCACTGTGCCATCCACAAAATGTCAATAGTTACTATATATCGAATGAGGACTGGCTCTTAGGAGCTTCTTATATATATTATCCAACCACCCAAAACCTTGAAAAAGTAGATATTATCTCTAATTTATTGACAGAGAACAGACATGCAGTTGTTCCATAATACTCTGAAGGTCACACAGCTTCTGAGCATTAGTTTCATTTTAAACAAAGGTCTCACTTCAAAACCTAACCTAATTCTTATTAAAACCATAGTAACACTGGTTTCTCTTTAGGAGAAATTTGAAATTTTGTATGTACATTTTCAGATCAGGGCATATGTAATGCATGTAGAAAGCCCAGTTGTCGTTGATTTAGGGGGAAACATTCTCATTTTGAAGTTTTCTGCTGGCAACCCCAGATTTGGCCACTAGAATGTCTCTCAGTTCACCAGTAAAACTGCCAAATGATAATTTGTCAGTGAGCCTTTCATTCTTACTGAAGTACTTATTAAACACTGACATTGTGACTTCTAGACTCTGGGGACTGTGATGTATCAAGACAGTCCTTCCCCTCATGAAGAGCTATCGTGTGATATCTGGATATTTAATAATGACAATAATAGCGACTTCTATTACTTTTACATGAAGTCACTAATTTAATCCTACAAGGGAGGTACTATTGCTATCTATATTTTACAGATAAATAAACAAAGGCACAGAGAAGTTCTTTATACAGTTTTGGATTTGAACTTGAAAGAATAGGAAATGAGACAATTTCTCCTGTGCCCTTTACTAATAAACTGGTAATAACTCTGTGTCATTCATCCTCAGGCTGTGAAGGTGGCTTCCCATACCTCATCGCAGGAAAGTACGCCCAAGATTTTGGGCTGGTGGAAGAGACGTGCTTCCCCTACACAGGCACTGATTCTCCATGCAAACTGAAGGAGAACTGCTTCCGTTACTACTCATCCGAGTACCACTATGTGGGAGGTTTCTATGGGGGCTGCAATGAAGCCCTGATGAAGCTTGAACTGGTCCATCATGGGCCCATGGCAGTTGCCTTTGAAGTCTATGATGACTTCCTCCACTACCACAAAGGGATCTACCACCACACTGGGCTAAAAGACCCTTTCAACCCCTTTGAGTTGACTAATCATGCTGTTCTGCTGGTGGGCTATGGCACTGATCCAGCCTCTGGGCTAAATTACTGGACTGTTAAAAACAGCTGGGGCACCAGCTGGGGTGAGAATGGTTACTTCCGGATCCGCAGAGGAACCGATGAGTGTGCAATTGAAAGCATAGCAATGGCAGCCACACCAATTCCTAAGCTGTAGGATATACTTCTCAGCATTTCATACTGATCACCATCAGTCATTAAAGGGGCTGATTTATTCACAGACTGGAGACTTTTACAGCAGCAGTTTCAGAAGATTACAAATAGATTCCTATGAAGATTTTTGCCTTTAAAATTAAAACCACTCTGATTTTAATATACCTTCCCATCACCACTGGCCTACTTTTTTCTAAGTACTCAATTAAATGAGGTTTTTATGGATGATGGTGAGCTATGCAGTACTGGATTTTGCTAATCTTTTCTAATTATTCAAACATGTATTTTTTTAAAATCTATATAAAATCACAAGAAAATATGGCAATGAATATTAAATTTTTAAAAAGATTTTTGTAAATGATCAAGTGATATGTATTATTTGTGTTCATTAGAGAATTTTCACCATTGACTCCTTCAGTTACATTCAGATCCACTTACGTTGCTTATATAAGTATTTTAAGAAGAAAAGGCACTTGAAGGTATTTCAATTTAAAAAAATACTATGAAACTTTATGATAGGAGATATGTTCAAATGATGACTAGTGAATGCTAAAATCATCCCCTGGATATTTGATGAGCCAAAGGCCATAGTGAAAAGAAATAGAAGTTTTGATAAAAATCTGGATATTTGGTTAAACCTTCTTATGGCAATCCTGCATTTGGAAGTATTGGTTAGTCTTCATTGGGTAAGCAGTAATAGCTTAATTAGCAGAATATTAGCAATTTAGATTTGAACAGATCTTTAAGTCTCCAAGAGATAGTTCACAGTGAAACCTTTCTGCTTAGTAAACTGATGGCATCTATTGGAAATGATGAGTTAGACAAAATTAGTTGGTCAGAGCTCTAAAACATAAACAAGAACCACAAGTCTTCTGGAGCTGGAAGACACTGAAGAGATCAGGCAACTTAACCTTTTTGCATAGGAAAAGAAACTAAGGCTTAGAGAGAGGGCAAGTAACTGATCCAAGGTCACGCAGATGGTAAAAGATGGAGTTTTGATCAGAACCTAGATCTAAGTTCTATTCTCCTTGAGTGCCTTAGACACTGAATCTTAGCATTTTCCTCTAGAATATTCGAATCACCAGGGATACTAGATGGATGCATACTTGGAAGTTTCACTTGACACGTTAAGTCTGAGTTTTATTTTAATCCTCATACTTTTTGCATTGCAATTCACTACAATGACATTTTTACTCTCCTTGAACTGAAATGGCATTCCAGGAATATGCTCATGTTTAAGGTGTTGCTTCTTGGGCTTGCTGGCACACTGAGACATACCTTTGACCTTTTCACCACAAGGTAACACAGAAGCAGACACTCTGAATGGCAGGCATAGCCATAGACCTGATCATCTGGAAAGCCTCCAAGGAAGTATATATATTTTTTGTTACTGTTACTGATTGAATGTAATTTTAGTCCTATGCTACGCCTAACCTTATCGCTATGTAAAAATGTAATAAGACTTTGAAATCAAGCATGAATTTCTTTTTCTCTAAAGTTTATAAAGGTACCACCTGTCAACTTTAACATAAGATTTTATTTAACACGTACAATGGAATTTATCCTCTGGTGTTCTACTGGACAGCAATCAGCAGACGCATATGAGAGCAAGTAATGAAGATACAGAACACCCATAATTTTGCACAATTTTCTGAGGGCCCTGCTTGAGCTCTGAAGGGAAATCATTGCCAGTATCATCTATTAAGTACTTCAGAAAATCTAGAAAACCTAAAAATGGGTGTGAACCTAACAGGCAATGAGAAGCAGCTCTTACAACCTTGATTAGTTGAAGGTATGAATGGTATGAAGAGGCCCAAAGTCTTCAGAGACTGCAAGAGGCCTTGTCCTGAATGGGAGTTCAAGTTACACTGCACTTCAACTTGCATTTATCTGCGTTGGAGTTTATTTTCCCTATTTCTATACTACAGAAAGATCACTTATTTCATATACAGTTAGATGAATTAAAAACTAACTAAATGGACCATCTTGGTTCCTCAAGCCATGTGATTAAACTGTTAAGCTTTACAAAAAGCAGCAAATTTCATTAACTAAAACTTGTTTATCTTGCTGTTAACAGAACATATAATCAAAGTCTGTTGACAAATTGAATTCTGGGAAAAATAGTAAAAGAACTCTGGCTAACCTCCCCAAAGATATTTCTAGAAAAACTACAGTGAAAACATGCATGGGTGACAGCACTGGCCACGAAAAGAAACTAAGTTTAGTCGGGCAGTCTAGCATACGCCATGATACTGATTTTGGTGCCTTGGTACCTGGACAGGATTTCTGGCTCTGCCACATATTAGCCATGAAACCTTGGTCTGTTTCCTTAAACTATCTGTGCTTTGGTTTCCTCATCTGTAAAATGGAGATAAAGGAATAGATATCTCTCATTGAATTCTCCCCTAAACCCCTACTATTGCAACAAAGGAACTAAATGGATTTGCACTTTTGTGTGATATTATTTGCTTTATTTAAGGTCAGACCTTTCACCATCCCCAATGGGTGAACTAAACTAAATTCAGATAATGAAGTTTCTCTGGCCATCCAAACTTGCTCAATGAACTTTGTACGACCTCTCACCAGTGAACTGGGGAACTGAATAGATTTGGATAGGAAGGGATACAGAGTTCTCTGAGGATTAAATGCCTTCAGATATGCAAAGTGTGTAGAAGAGTGCTTGGAACACAGTAAGTCATCTTTTTCTGAACTCGAATTGTAAAATAACCTTTTGCTATGGGGAAGCAGCTACCATGTATTCTAGTAAAAAAACAAGGTCTCCCCTACCATGAGAGGGTAGGGAAGGGATTTTGAGGTTTCTTTTTTTAAAAGGGGAAGAAAAGAACCAACAGGAACATTGGTACAAAGAATCCCACAGAGAAAAATCTTTAAAAACTTTTATGAATTAGGTGATTTTTATTTTTTTGGCGGGGGTAGGGGTATAGTTTTATATCGCCCCACATTACACCGCTGCTTCTGCTGCCTGTTTGGAGAGAAGACCAAGTGTGAGAGGTGATCAAGTTTAGATGGTTACAGCAGAGGTGAAAATCAGGCCCCGGCTGAGAGAAAAGTCACTGTAACTTTGAAGCGAAAAAGACTAATCTAAGGTTGTAACAACCGTATTTTCCTACCCAGAACTTTCCTGTTAGGGTAAGGTAAGCCTAACAGATTCACCACAATAATGCTGGAAGGTCATTTAGTCCACCTCTGTCATTAAAATAAAAATGGGCTCAGCAGGGAAATAACAGGCCTGCGGTTCTAGCTCCTAAAGATAAATCTAGACTCCTGTGTGTCCAGAACTTTCTACTGTAGCTGCTGCCTCCTAATTAAGAAAAATGGAGAAATCTAAATGTTATGAGAGAATTAATGTGACCGTCACCTTTCTCTGATAAAATCATTTCTAAGCTCCTTTCCAACTCTCAGAAATCCTGTTCTCATCTTTTGGGGAACAAGTACTCTAAACTCCAATCCATGTGTGGTGGTTTAGAAGGTTTCATTTAACAGTTTTTCTCTAAATATAGTGGCATTAATATTTGTATTTCTTAATTATCGTGAAGATTTATTTTTTGGTCTAAAGTAGAAACTGCCTGACCAAGATTGGAGAGTTTTACATATATCATATTCTTCTGCACTGATGGGAAGTATGTGGAATTAAAATTGTATATTAGTGATGGGTCAGTTAGCCTTTGGGCCTTAGTTTCATTGGCTATAAATTATTGACCTTATTGAACTGTAGTTCTGATTGAAAGTGTGAATTTGCCTGAAATTGCCAGGACTGTAAAGTAGTTGAACCCTTAACCTACCTTCTGGCCAAGCTGTACAATGTTATGGTGACAGCAAACCAAAACTGCAGGCGATAAATTAGCCCTGCCCAAAAAATGCAGCACATGCCTTTGTTGTTGGGGTCTTTCCTTTTCCTTTCAGTAGACCTTTTGTTAAGATTCCTTTTCTTCAAATGCTTTTTAGTAGTTAGCAGAAGTGAGAAATTTAGCTTCTCCTTTTCCTATTTTTGAGGATATGATGCTGATGCAGTACTTCTATTTTAAACTCTCTGTCCTAAAAGGCAATTTGTTTTTTGAAATTTAATTCTATAGTTAAATGGGAAAAGAGTGATAAACTCTACACTCTCCAAGTTGAGAAAAGAAAAGGGCCAACTTGTTCTTTCCTCTGATACAAAAGGTCTAAGGAGATTAAAATGCTAGCAATCAATTGAAAAGAAGTAAGTGGGAGAAATAGCCTTCCCCTGAGGAAGTGAGGGTGAAGCCAAGAAGGCAAGGCCATGCATTAAAGCAATCACTGAGATGATTTTTTTTTCCCGTAATGTATTTTCTTAACCTTCAAAAGTATTGAATACTTTCAGTATACTGTTGGATAAATGATAGAAAATGAATGCTTTCAGTATCAGATTTTATACCAACGTTCTCTCTCTTGTGGGGTTTCTGGAAAGCTAAAAGAAAAGCTTGCTTTTGCCTTACATAACTAGTCCTATGCCATCATAAGAAATGCACAGTATTCCTGAGGGAGTTTTTTTTCAGCAGGCTAAGATTCAATTGAGTAACAAGAATGAGTCTATGGAGAGAAAGTAAACAAAATAGCATTGTGTGTGAAAATATCATGGACTTTGAAATCAGACAGTGCTGCTTTTGAGTCTTTGCTCCTCCAATGTTTATTATTTGGACCTTAGTTCAGTTATTGAACAGAGATTTCTAGTCTTCAGTGTCATTGCCTGTTAAAGGTGACGCTAATTTTTACTTCGTAGGCTGTGACAAGGTTTAAAAAAATGGGTATTAATGTATTACCCATATTATTTTAAATAGAAAAAGGTTTAAAGTGCTTTACAAAGGTAAAGATGCAGAACAAAATAAGTTAAAAATAAGTGAACTGAAGTAAAGGAAGATAAAGGTAGAAAAGTAGGCTATGACCGTGAATAAAGTCTGTTCAGATCTAGCATGTTACCTGATCCGTAGGGAATGAAATGCTTCAATAGTGCTTCTCAACAAGAGTTGTTTTTGCCCCTCGGGATATTTGGCAATGTGTGTAGGCGTTTGGGTTTTCATATTGGGGGAGGAGATGCACTCCAAAATGAATTATCCGGCCCAAATGTCAGTAATGCCGAGGCTGGGAAAGCTTGCTCTACAGCGCGCCAATAAATCCCCGCCTCCCTGCCCCAGCACTAAATGAATGCTACAGACTTTGGAGGACGGAGAGAACTCTGAGGACTAAAGTTTTCCCAGAAGCTTCCAGAGAGCATACAAGACTTGAGCTTATTTGTGAAGAATCAAGAGCTGGAGTAAAAGATGTGGAGGCCCTGGGAGCGCATGAAAACTGAAGTTATGAGAGAAGATGAGGGCACTTCCATTTTGAGTCCATTTTGAGTAGATCCCACCCAATAGAAATGCACCTATATGATTTTTAAAATGTATAGAACTTTTTAAGTAAGTAGCTATCATTTATCATAAGAATGGGGCTCATTAGTGGACCAGACATTAGAAGAAAGGAGAAGGGGAACAAATGAGAAGATAGAATGATAATTGGAGGCTCATGCGTATGAGAAAATTCTGCCATAGAAGATGAATACACCATCACAATTCACCAAACATTTGGTCAAGATAAGGATGAGAAGAAAAGAGGTAGAATGCAGTATTCTTGCTTAGAAAGAGCATTTGTTTAAAACATTGGTTCTTCGCTCTTTCTAGGATATGGACCATGGATTCTTGAGATTAAAAACAAAAAAACAAACAAACAAAAAACCTATGGATCTTTTCCCCAGAACATTTCACATACTCATCCTAAAGTTTGCATAAAATTTCAGCATGTTCTTGGAAACTTACAGGCCCCAGAATAGTAAAGTATACTTTGATGTATATGGCTCTTTTTCTCCCACCTATTCTTGCTAGATCTGGAATTCCAAGCTGGAATTTAGTTTCCTTCAGCGCAGTAAAAGTAACATGCCATTGGGAAGACAGCTGACATTCTTGTTGCTCCATTGAAGGTAATCTTATTTTTCTCTGGGTGCTGTTAATTTTTTCTTTCTTTGATTTTCAACAATCTTAGTTTTATATGAGTAGACGGGATTTTTTTTTTTTTTTTTTTTTTTTTACTTTTTTTTTTTTCAGCAGTTGGCTGGGAGGAACCACTGAAAAGGCTTGGCAGGTGGGACTTGGGCACCTGTACCAGGTGGATAACTCAGCTTCCAATGGTGATTTCTCTGTTGGTTCCCAGCCCCTTGTCTTGGTTTCTCAGGACCTAGCCTCTCTCACTCCTTCTATCAGAATCTCTAGAGCAAGACTCTAACCAGTGAAATTCCATCAGGGAACTACGGTCCTTTCATTAATGAGAGAGACTTCTGGTGCCCACTGCCTGCCTTCAAGAATTCATTTTGTGAAACCCCGGGGCTCCTTATAACTGCTCCTGCCGCCCACAGGAGCAGCACTTCTCCCTCCCCTTGAACCTGTTGTTGCCTCTTTACCTTGACTGCCCACTGCAGCAGCTTCACCCAGTAGATACCTCTCACTGCTAAATTACAC